TTTGGTTGGGTTGGTACCCCTTGTCTTCTTTGTAGCTTGCTTGCATTCCTCTCTGAAGACAATCGTTTTGCATGTATGTAGTAGGCAACAAAAAGGCAACTACAGTACACATAAGAATTGCATAAGAAATGCGTGAGCTTCAGGTGATCAAAACATCCAAAACACCCAATGAACACCGGTGATCCATGAGTCGTATCCAGGCTGTGTTGTATATACATACACGGGTGCATCAATTCTATTGCACAGCTCGCGCACAGCACGCACACATACATATACGGTTCGTTTGTGACTTTGCATTCCGCTTTTGGGTTGATTCATGATGGAGCAGACCGCCTATGTTGGAGTCAAACGCTTGAGGAGTCCACGACTCCGGGGATGGACACACCAAGAGGAAGAACACGTTTTTCGTGGGGAGTACACTGGTTCTGCCACCGAACGAAGCGGTTCTGATACCGCGCCAGGTGGATCAACCAATGCTTGCTCCTTCGGTGGAGCAGTTCTACGAGGCGGGACGTTCCCAGGACTACAGATGGTTTCAGAGGTCACGGGCGCCCCCAAGAGGTCTTTGTTAGATGAGGGTCCACGTATGATCCACCGAACCTGCCATCCCATCAGAGTGTATATCTATATATTGCTAGTTGGCATTTCCACACAAAGAACATGCACTAAGCCAATTGCCCAGGTGTCACGTCAGTACTTCCATCAAGGACATGCTAAAAAGGGGTCAGTAAGTTGTTCTTTATTTTTCTGAGGGGTAGCATATACTGATATAATCTGATACATACGGTCTATGAATGAATATACATGAATATGCAATAATATGAATATATATATATGCATAAAGTTATCATATTAAATCACGAACATATGTAGATCGAGTTATATACATATATTATATGATTAAACTATATATACATTGAATTGTCTATTCAACTTCTGCGAACAATCATGAAGCACATCAGCTCAGCTCAGGGCATCGGCTTCCACTCGACCATCGCGGGACTTCCGCAGCTCACGTCGCTCGCCGCGAAGACGGTCGCGTGGCGACGTGAGGGTCGCAGGTCCAAAGCCCTACGAGGAGTCGGGTCACCGAGTTAGTTTCTCTTAGTTTTCAGACTAAGGGTCTTTGACTAACATTCTGATCAACTAACATGCTAAGGGTCTAAGGGCCTTCGTTTTTCTAAGGGTCTAATCATTCTGATCAACTAAGGGTCTTTGACTTCCGAAATTCCAAGGAACTGAACATCATGTGACAATGTGGGTGTGTAGGGAGACCCCATCTGGCCCAATGAATATTGGTCCATTTCTTCTCTTCCAGGGGGGTCGAAATGGGAGGTTTCCCTATTTTAGTAGACACCCAGTTAGACACCCATATCGAACTCCTTTTCAGGCTGGTGAGGAATGAGAGTTTCGCACTCCGACCGAGACTCATTCTTCCTGCATCCCATTGGCGTCCCGTATCCCTACGTGGGATGACAGACACCGAAGGGACCGAAGAGACGGGACTGGGGACGGTCTGGGAGAGTGAATTCCGGATCGTCCAACAACCCACCGAATGAAGGAGAATGAGGCCTGAGAAAGGTCTTTATTGTCTTTCAGATGGCAAAAATGACATCACTCACTCTACTCTTGTGGCAACTGTGTCGAATTGAAAAACCGATGTGTTTGCTTGGAAAGTTGTGGTGGTAGACCTAGAAATTCGCTGGTTCACACCAGACACCAATCAGGAAGCTGAAAGAAAAAGACATGGGTAAGCACAAACTGTTGCTCAGACTGCCATGAACTGTGTAGTTCTCCAGCAACATGGTCGTTTCGTCTCTTCTTCCAGCATCAAGAGGCAGGGGCATCTTGACGCATCCAATGCGGAAACCAGATCTCTGGCGTAGCGCCGGCTACGCGCAGTCGCAGGTACCACATTGAAGAGGAGCGGCTTCAAATTTTGGAGGACCCCGCACCGTCTCGGGACACGTGCTTTTCAAGATGCGTTTTTCGTGGTTTTCCGAGATCCCTTCCAAATTTGTTGTCCTGCCTTTCATGGCTTGGTGTAAAGGCTTCTTTGAGTAGTTCTTTGGGCAAAACCATTTCACAGCGGCTGGTCGGTGTGTTTAATTAGATGCATTTGTTGCAGAACCAGGAGCCGGGTCCGTAGTAAGGCATCCAAAAGCAAAACTTGTTTGCAATAAAAACATGTCTCGAATAGTATCCAATTGTATTGTCTCGGAAACCAGGGGAATATTTTCCCGACGTGAACTGAACACTTGGGCCGATGAGCTGACCTATCCAATCCCGATGGGCTTTGACCCTCGCGCCGAGGCTCAAGGTCTCTCGGCTGATGAAGTCCCATTTGATGCAACGTGTGTTCCAGGAACTTTATATTTTAAGGGATGTCCTCCTTAGAAACCTGCTGGAGGGCGCCTACGCCACTAGTTCCTGAGACCCTAACCGGGGGGGTTCTCCATGTCGGAGAGGTGTCTGGGCAGTTTGAGACTTGGCGGGTGGCGGGTGCCGGTGGGAACCCACCCATTTGGTTGTTGGTTTTGATTCTTGTTTCAAGATACATGTGCATATATGTAGCTTGTTTCTTGACACATCCATTCAACCTCTAATCCTGGAGTCACTTCTTTATCCAAGTTGTAGATGCGTTGTCCACAACCTCAACAGAACTGTGAGGAACCTTCCCAGAACTGGAGATGTGTTTTGCAGGCTAGCTGCCTCCTCCATTTCGACCCCCCTGGCCCAAGGTGGCGGACCTCGGTGGCCCATGTGTTGTCGTTTCAGTTTGAGCCCGGCACAAAGAGTTCCAGAAAGGTCACATCAAACATTCCAGACATGTCAAGGGTTCTTTCAGGATGAGATGACCGAGAAGGAGTTGGATCTCGACACTAAGACCCAACGAGGGGTGAAGGCTTGGCCGAAGCCTCCTTCCGCGAGGGCTTGGGGAGCCTCCTTCCGCTGAGATGTTCATGGATGCGCAGGGAGAAGACTTGGACAACATGGATGCGCCCAGGTCTACAATAGGTCGTTTTGTGTTTCTAAAGAACCGTCATTTTTTGACCCAACGATGTTTTTTCTTGGGATGTGGATTCCATAGTTTCTATTGGACTTTGCGCGTGATTCATCAGATGTTGGGCCAATTGCTGTCGGATCTTTGGCCTAAGATTGCGACACAGGTGGAGATTACTCTGCTGGGCTACATCATCTTCAGAGGTGCCGATTTGGGCGAGGTTTGGGATCCAGATGATCCGTTTTTTCGGGTCAGATGGTTGGGATGCAAGGCAAGTTGTCCCGTGAGATTGTATACTTTTTACACATCGAGATGTTTGGGGTGGACACGGTGTGGTCAAAATATGTGTTTTTCTCTGTCCATGTTAAACGACTCTCGCGGAACACCTTATCCTGCTGTTTCAGCTAACCCGTCATCCGAGCATCTCTGAAACCACTGCTTTGCATTGCGTTTTGCCTGAGAGGCATGGAAGCAAAACCCAAGCAGCCATCAAAACAAAGCTCCCCTAACCCCTTCAAACAGATGCTATTGTTGGATATTGTTGGTATTTGTTGGTACTGTCAGATGTCCTGCTTTGTGCTGCCGAATAACCATTGTTTTTGTTGTTCCATCCCAATGGCAATGTGGTCGCATGACTTTCTGAAGCTTGAATGTCATCAGTTTGGAAACAGCATCGATCACTTCCCATCAAAAAGACCTCAGCCGGCGAAGTCTGTCCCCATCTCCCAGCTAATGAAAATGCCTCACATCGTCGCCGCTCTGAAGCCAGAAGTTAACCTGTGTTTGCAGTTGTTTGCCGCTATGTTCGATCCAGTCGATCAAAGAGTTTTCACTTTCCCAAGGTTTGGACACATGGTGCGGGTTTTTTTCGAGGGGTTTCTTAGCCAGGTGGGATTTTGAAGACGTGTCCAGAAGTGGTTTCCAACTCCCCATGGCCCGGAATTTCGGCGCTCCCACGTGCAACGAGGGTCATGAAAGGACAAAGGGTAGACGAAGACATAGTGACAAAAACAAGGCTGATTGGTTCAAGGATGTTCAATGCAATCCTCTTTGTTTGACAATCCTGTTTTTTGTCACTATGTCTTGGTCTTGGTTCATGTAGACATGTCTTGTTTCAAGCAATCCTCTGAAATCAGACACAAGACCTTCAAGACATCATGTGTGACATCCATTGTTTTCGAACACGACAATGAATGTCCCAAGTCTGGCCACGTGTCGTGTCAACATCCGTCGGTCGCCAGACTTGTCTCCCAACGGCGACGGTTCACGGCTTCACGTACGGCTGGCGACGTTTCACGGCGACGTTGGAAGAAGACCAGGGGGTGGGGGTTGGATCAACGAGTCATTGGAGGTTCTAGGGATCACGCATGGGGACCCATTCAGTCTTAAGTGGTTTCAGAGGTTCGATGGCGACTGAAAAGATATTGGGGACCTTTTTTTGGACTACCGAACTTGGGGATTGTGCCATCTACTCTGAAACCACTGCAAGAATTATGGCATCAGTGGGATAGTGTTTCTCCACATCACATTGGAAAGTGGATGGAATGAAATGGCGGCTCAAAACAGGGGGACCCGCGTTGACCAATGAACCGAATAGACCAGAACAATCCAGAACACACTCATTTTTCAGTTGCTGGGCATTTTCTTGGAGGTTTTTGGAACGCGTCAACATCAAGCTAGCTCCATGTGCACCATCCCCACTAGCCCACATTCTGGAAAAGACCCCTTCCAGGTCGACTCAGGCAATCGGATCAATGGACTAGTAAGGTGCCTTTTGAGCGCCTCCAACCTACTAGCGATGGCCTCCACCCTTGAATGGAGTTCATTTGCCCAAACCATTCTCGAAGCATGAGGCAACCCGTCCGAGACTTGCTAGACTTGCACCAGCATGGCCAGGCAGTCTTACATCCTGGTGTGCCAGATGCACCTGTGGACACCTCAGATGGGAAGTCATGGGAGTCGGAGTCGTGTTCGGATGACTGGCAGATGATGACCTGTCACACCGCCTCGCCACCGCCTATTAGGTTGGAGGCCATGGCGTTCGTAGGTTGGAGGCCATCGCTTTTTGGATCTTTTTGGGGAGACCTCCCGACCAATGGGTGTAGAGAGACCTACCGATGGGAGACCTACCAACCGTTTGGGAGACCTCCCAACCTATTTCAACCTTCCAGGGGATCCTATCGGGGTCTCCCTATTCTAATAGCTATTTGGGTGACTCTTCCTTGCCGCCTTGGCTCGACAGAGCCACAGTGCCACTGTCCTTGAGACACGACATGATGATCTTCAAATATGTTCTCGCGCTGAGCCTGCTGAGCTCCAGTTTCTCCACTGATGTGGACCCGGAGACCTGTGAAGAGGCGGACTGCGCTTTGTCCTTGAGGCAGCTGAGGGGCCAGCAATATGAAGCCAGAGTTTGGGAGCATCAAGGAGAGGGGGAGGAAGTGGCCGGAGGGCTTCATCAAGGGCGGGAAAGGCAGCGCCGGCGCCAAGTGAACGGAATGAAGCTTATCACATTTTTACACCAGACTTCACCAGAATCAATCATCGACTTTTGGGAAGGGTGAGGAGTATGGATTTGCTAGATGGAGTGAACTGTGGACATGTGTGGAAGGTGAGGCCAGGAAGTCTGAGGCTCTGATAGTTTTGTAGAACAGCAGGTACCTGCAGCCCTGTGTTTGTCGTCCTTCTGCCAGTTTCACCACTAGAAACCAAGAAGCAAACCCCTGAAGGATCTCTCATTGATTTTGAGGAAACACCTGAGGTAGCTCCGGCAGCAAAAGCCACGGACACTGAGGGTGAGGGAACTGAGGATCCTTACAGCAAAGCACCAGACGCACCTGCAGCGGCACCAACTGCCACTGAGGGAGAAGGAACCGAGGATCCTTACAGCAAAGCACCAGATGCACCCGCAGAAGCCCCGGCAACGGAGGCAACCGCCACTGAAGCACCTGCAGAAGCACCTACAAAAAAGGCAACTGCCACTGAAGCACCCGCAGTGGAAACTGCCACTGAAGCACCTGCAGAAGCACCCGCAGCAGAGACAACGGCCACCGAAGCACCTGCAGCGGAAACTGCCACTGAAGCACCTGCAGAAGCACCCGCAGCAGAGACAACGGCCACCGAAGCACCTGCAGCCGAAACTGCCACTGAAGCACCTGCAGAAGCACCTGCAGCAGAGACACCTGCAGAGGCACCTGCAGCAGAGGCACCTGCAGCAGAGGCACCTGCAGCAGAGGCACCTGCAACTGAAGCACCTGCAGAAGCACCCGCAGCAGAGACAACGGCCACCGAAGCACCTGCAGCGGCACCTGCCACTGAGGGTGAGGGCACTGAGGATCCCGACAGCAAACCACCAGATGCAACTGAGAGCACACCAGCTTCTTCTGATGAAGAAACAGAGACATTTGCATTGACACATTGGCAACCTTTTTGTGCAAAGTGTGCTTCCAGCTAAAGGCTACCTTTGTTGTTTGTTTTGGTTTTTATGTGTGTGCACCTTGTGACAGAAAGAATTATGTTTTGCCTTTAGCTTGCTCCTGTTCCCATGCTTGGTCATGCTCCGCCCAGGGCACACAACATGACACAAGAAGAGTGGGAGGAGAAGCAGGGAGGCCTTTGTTGCTTTACTGGTTCAGACCCTAATGATGCCTGCGGCACGTGCTACCCTACTGCCATTGCTCCTTGCCGAGACAACTCGCGTCCTTGCCTGGACAGTTTTTACAAGGCAAGACCTTGTAGTTTCATGTAGTTTCTGCTTGCACACCATCAAGTGCATATCAGACTATATATTTACACATATTTAAACTGGAGTTGTCTCAGCGTTTGTTCATGTTCAAGAATCAGTATGGCTCAAGACACAAAGTGTTTCTATTCACACCAGCCAGGCTTAAGGTGTATCCTGTTTTTCAGCGTTTGTTGACAGAGGGGCAATGACCTGAAACTTTGGATGATTCTTTGCCTGAAGTTTCCGCCAAAAATGCGGCCCTGGGACTGCCACCCTTTCTGGCACCTAATTTTGTGGCTTTGCTACATGTTGCGACAATATGAAAACCCCAGCCGTGAAAATTGCCGCGAAACGCGGGGCGTTTTCGCCTGGCCACCGAGGCTTCCTTCAAGAGCCGCTGCTCAAGTGGACGATGGAAGTGCGACACCTGCGGCGGCAGCTGGTGTGAGTTTCTTGGAGAATCAATCGCAAATCATGGAACATCCGGCATGGGGTGTGCCTTATCCAGGTATAGGGTATCCAAGGAGGCCCCCCATCATCCAGGTCCCAAAGTTCTTCCAAACAGATTCAGGACTCCCTCCGACTCGATCATGCCGTGATCATCATCCGTTCCTCCCACTCGGCCGAGTCGCCGAAGCGTCCGAAAGCGAAGCGAGGCCCAAGTGCGTGATCAGCGCGCAAGATCCGAACAACAAGTGCGCGACGGCCTTCGATTCAGGCAGAGAGAGGGGAGGGGAGCTTCGATTCTCGACCACGTGTCGTTTTTTTTGTTTGGGATGGTGTCGTCCACGTAGTCCTTTGGTGTATGTGTGCGTTGGATTCTGAGGGTTGGGGATGACAGCCACAATGCAGATCAGTATGATCAGTATTGTCGCACACGTTTCGTCGCCGAGATTCAGTTTTTGTTACGACTCCTGGAGGCTGAACTAGTGGATTCGACATGATTTGTGAGTTCTGGTTGTCCAAACAGTTCTCAAACATCACACCATGGACGGTTCCAACAAGTTTGGTGTTGTGGTCAAATTACTCTTGACATCTCTTGACCGCTTTGGCCTTTCAGAGCCCGAGCAGCTTGAGGCAGCGCGAGTTATGAGCCAGCAAACGTGTTTCTGGCAAACCTGTTGTGCCATTGATCAAGTCAAAGTGCTCGAGTCGTTGCATGTCGCACCAGGTCCTCAGATTTGGCATGTGTTTTTTGGACCAACTGGGGCAGTGCAATCGCGATAGCTCACGTCTCAAATCGAATGGGGAAGAAAGCAGGAGGACTTCTCGGAAGAGGGGAAACAGAGGCTATAAACATCTACATCCCATGGTTGAAACACATCTTGACATCCATGTCCTTGGACCCCCTTCCCTGGCATTTGTTGTTCGGCATCGCGCAGGCCGTAGGCCGGGTTTGAGAACACCAACAGGTTCATGCGATCAGAAGCCTGGCTCCACAACCTACGTAAGACATATATACCAGCACCATCAGCACCATCCGGCCAGGTTTGGGATGGTGCTGGTACACCAATTTCTCCTTCAAGCACCACAGGGCCCCTCGTCCAGACACGGACACCCGTGGGGAACCTTCCCCGCATTCCAGGTGTGGCGGACAAGAGCAGCGCTTGTGGTAAGTCCGCCAAGGGGTGTGCCAACTGCGGTGGTGAGTGGTGCCGCCTCGGCCTGCTGGCTGAACTGGGTGGGCCAACTCTCTCCAGTTCTGGAGTTCGAGTGCTCTCACTCCCAAGCGTGGGATGAGTTTCATTAGAGTTTAGAGTGCTTTTAAGGTTGACACATCGTACTCGTAGTGCTTTTCGATGGTTCGGTCATGTTCGGTTTTCTGTCGGTTAAAGAACAGGGCTTGGCAGATTGGTTTGAATTTTCATCCCATAGTTCCATAGCCACATGATTTGGTGAAGAAAGACCCAATTGAAATCCTTTGATCCTAATTTGTAGAAATGATTTGGTTTTCCACTTCCACCGGACCATTGGAGCCATGCGATTTTTCCACGTGGCAGGCATGGTTGGATAGGGGAGCTCTGAGCTGAGGTAGAGCCACAGAGTCTTCCAGCAGCACAGTGTGTAGTAAGGGTCTATCTCACGAAATGTTACTGGGGTTGGGATGCCTCTAAAGACTTACATTGTACACTGCTTATTACATCTTATTACTTTTTGTTATTGTTGTACTATAATGTATACGCCACTAGCCATGGGAGCCCAAGCGACCCAAGCTCAGGTTGTTGTTGTCGTCGTCGTCGTCGTCGTTTTTGCACCGCTCATGGTCACCCCCATCTTAGATCTTCGCGTGCCCCGCCGAGGCGTCACGAAGATCGCCGGCGGCGCTGGTGCCGTCAACAGCGATGGTGGCGCCGCCAGTGCGCAGAACGCGGTGGCCACCGGCGGCTTCTGCTGTGACCAGTCGCAAGAAAGCCTGGTCGTGTTGATTTTCCCCAAATGATGGAGTGTGCAGCCTAGTTTCTCTCCTAGTTTCGTTTTGTGAAAGACACCCATATGTCCGTGCCGTGCTGAAGGCCAACAGTTGCCAGATATTGCCAGGGTATCAAAGATGCAGCATGATCAGAAAGAACTTTGACGGTCCATTGCAGTCTTATTGGGTCTTTGGAGTATGGACTGTAGGTACGGTATTTCCCTTTCAGTTTCCTTTTCCTCCTTTTCCTATCCCAGACTCCAAGGCTACCGGGGTAACGTCTTCGCGAAGGACATGTGTGCCTTGGTGGTACCAAGCAAGCGGATGTGGGTGGAGGATCTCCCAGTCTTCGCTCAGGACAGGATGGGTGAGAGATCAACCTTCCATGGACAATCCTCGAAAGGCAAGCAGCTCCAAAGTCGAAAGCCCATTCTGCGGAAGTTTAAAATCTCAAGACTATACTCTGACCTTATATGTAATGGAGAATGGCGTTGGGTGAGCAACAAAAGTTGCAATTCCAGGATGCGGGTGAGTGAGAGGGCAAGCTCCCGAACTCAGATGAGCATTGGGGATGCCAACTGTGTTTGTCACATCCTGGATGTTTTCGCTAGTGTCACTCTGTGTGACTTCACAATCGATTTGGATCAATAAATAGGTGTTTTTTTTCAATGTTGAGTTAAGCCTCTTTGACGAGCCACTCCTCTCATAGCCACGACTTGACTCTGGCTGAAGCAGCGCACAATAGCGATTTAAAGTCACTGTTTGATATCAATGCCAAGGGGTCTCCAATGTGTCTTACTACTTGTGGATCTCCAAAAGATTCGCAACCCACAAAGAAGGTCCATTTTCCCTTTCAAAGAGCAGAACCAAAAGCCATGAACAGCGTGCTTCAAGCCGCGCCGTGACTCGGGGAAAACACGGAGTACCGTCTGGGACTCGGGGCACCCGGGAGTCCAGTCGACGACAAAAGAGATCAAGGCGACACGTGTTGGAACGCTCGAGCTACTTCAGTCGGTCAAAATATAGTCGAACTGGACTTCTAGGGCAAATCTATTCCATGTATAGCAACATCAGATAACTGTCCAGTCCCATGGATTGTTTTAGGAGTGGTCAATACTCATTACGGGCCGTTACCAGGGAGTTCGGGTGGTGATTTGATGGATGCATCATCATATGCAGCTGCAAAGTCAGGGCTATCAAACCAAACCAGTCCAACCAACTGCGGTGCTGGTAGACTCTGTGGTGCAACGCTGTGTCTCTTCCTCTGGTGCCTCGTTTCTTCTCCAAGGCACCGCCTGTGAGGATGTCTCGCAGGATATCGCCTGTGCAGACTCTGGGTGGAACGAGCTGGAGGGGTCACGGAACGACACGCTACCGAAGCCCAGCGTAGACTGCGTAGACCTCTTTGGGACCTTGGGAAAAGGGTTGCTTAACCCAGTAGTTCGTAGAGCTGATCCTGTAAAATACAGTTTCTGTGTGATACAGACATGACTTTCTTGGAAGTCCACACGTTAGTCGTACCGAAGCCCCCCAGGTGTTGAAGAAGCGTCCACGCATTTCATTTGTGTCCATGATCCAAGGCGTCTCAACCGTGGGCGAACGAAAGCGCTCTAGTGGATCCGGATTGTCCCGGTATTGCACGGATGTGGGTCAAGATAGAGCAGTACAAAACCTCTAGTATGGGACAACCTTGCATTATCCGTCCAATTCTCTGTGTTTTTCTTGGTCCAATCTACTCACGGATACTGACATGATTGTAGTGGCCACTGTTTGGTAGTTAGCCTTGTACTATCTAGTACTTAAAATAAGTTCATTGCCACGGCAATGCATTGAAGAGGAACATGATGTGCAAGATCAAACTGCGGACTTGCTCCAATAAGTTATATATTAAATGGTTTGTCCCCCAGGCCTCAAGCCAAGATACCTTTCCCTCCAGACATGCAGTCCTTCCGCAGCACCAGTGAATCGCCATGGATGCACTGCCACAGCTGCCCAAGTTATCCATTGGCAATCCATCGGTCCATTTTTCATGGCTCTCGCCCCTTTTGATAGTATCCTGCGCCTCCGTTTCGCCGACCGATGGCACCCCGGCCCTCATGCAACCCTTAATCGCTACATTTTGCTACTAGCAACTAAGGCATCGCTACTATATTATAGTAGCTTCTTCCTACTAGTAGTAATGGCCTCAAGCCTACTAGCGATGGCCTCCAACCTAATAGCTTCTAGCATCTTCTAGCTACTCCTTATATTCCCTTCTGGCCAGACTTTAGTCAGGAATGAGGGAATGAGGTCAAAGTGGATAAGAGTTAGGTAAGGAGGCTCAAACAACATCTTTTGATGGACATATACAATATGCACATAGCAAAAAACATTAAAACCCTGCGCGAAATTAGACCATTACACATGTATAAAGTTTGTGTTTGGCGCAAACAAAATAAAGGTTGCTGATCAGCAACCAAAGCAAGCAACATTGGTTGTTTAAAAAATGAAGCAGTACATGTTCAATGGTTCAAAGGGTTGCTGATCAGCAGCCTTTGCAATGAACATGTACTTGTTGAACAAAAAATTGAGTAGAACATATGCACTGATTTAATTGGTTGCTAAACAGCAGCCCGTGCCAGTGCAATCAAACTTCATGAAAAGAAAATGGATCAGAACATATACATTGGTTCACATTTGTTTCAATAGACGCGTGCAGTAGAACTTTATACATGTGTAATGGTCTAATTCCGCGCAGGGTTTTAATGTTTTTTGCTATGTGCATATTGTATATGTCCATCAAAAGATGTTGTTTGAGCCTCCTTACCTAACTCTTATCCACTTTGACCTCATTCCCTCATTCCTGACTAAAGTCTGGCCAGCCTTATTCATTGGACTATTCATTGGGCTTGCGAAAATCCAAGGACTCCAAGGGCTGCGGGACATGTGGAGGTACCTGGTGTGCTGGCCCTCGTTGTGTGAAGGCCTTCAGCCACTTGGAAGCGGTGGAGAATGCCTGCCAAATCCTGTTCCGGGGAGATGACTTGTTCCGGTGGAAGCGTGCGGGGCACGCATGGAGATGCATGATTGCTTTGAACATGTTAAACACGGGAGCCATGAACATGAGGAAAGAACGGAATCGAATGGATGGCCATTGTTTTAGGTACGTTTTGTGAGTGTTTTGTGGCAGTTGAGAAGGCGTGAGAATACCGCGGAGGACCACGGTAAATATGATCAATGGCCCAGGAACTATGCACTTGACTTTCTGAATCTCAAATCTGGGGCTTCTTCCTCCTGATCTCTCATTGGGCCTGCTTACTATATATAGTTTGCCCGCTTCAACGAACGAATCGTTCACTGCTTGGCGTTGTTCGCAGTCCAAAGTCCCAAGTCCAACGGCGTTGTACGTGGAACTCGCCTCGCTCTTCGACTCGCCTGGCCGGAACCGTTCCGTTCGATCGGTTTTCCACGGGTCGGCGCCGATGCCGGCAGGGTCGTCTGAGGCGACACAAGTGATCCGTGCCACTCGGCCTACAATGCTGACAGCGTCGCGGGCTTGACCGACTATTGCAACGGCTCAGAAGATCGCTGCAGCAATTGTGGAGGTGTCCCTTGGCTATTGCAATTGGGAAGAGACGGCGGGAGCTGTGGAGAGAGAGAGGAGCGTGCGGCCGATTTGGCAGGCGTGGCCACACAAGGGGTTAAAGACCAGAATTACGTGGGCTTAGTCTATGGAATTATTGTGATTGATAGGCTGATTTAAGCTATATAGCCTCCAAGTTGCGTAACGTACAGCGAGCCAAGCAATCAAACAAGAAACGGCACATGGAACGACAAGACCTGAAAATATACTGTCTGAGGCTTCCGCACTGGCTTCCGCCTGCCGAACCAAAAGCTCCGCATCGATCCGCATATCCCTGCTGACGCTGAGGCTTGGTGCACCTCGACGGACATCACCTTCGAGAACGGCCAGAAGTTCGACCCCGACGCCACGCCCTCCAGCGCCCCCTCGGCCGATAGCTCGGGCGAGGAGCAGACGGAGGACGAGGAGGCCTCACGGGAGCCCAGGGGGGGCCAAAAGGACCGTGCTTAGAGAGAATCCAACAGGTGATTACCTGGATGGTTGTGACTTACAAGGTTTGGTGAGTGTTTGAAGCTGCAGAGCAGATGGGAATAGCATGACCCACGTTTCTTTTTCTCCGTAAATGATAAATTAATGCCTTTAAATGATGTGAAATGTTTGTTGAATCGAAGTTGTTCAAAGTGCTGTTAAGAATTGATTTTGCACCATGTTGGACCATACCATACCTGATTTTTCATGTTGCCATGCAGTGCTTCTTTGGGTCGTCTGGGCTCCCCCAAAAGTCACCCACAAACACCCACACGAGCACGCAGTACTTCGAGGTTCGTTTTTCACGACCTCCGCAGTCGGCAGGAGAAAGAGGAGACATTCGAGCCTTTTGATGACCTCTTTCCACATCAGCTGCCCTGAAGTCAGACCAAATCTGAAGGGCAGCGGCTGTGCGTCAGAGCAATCAAAGCATTGCGATCGATGTGATGACTTTTCAAAAGGCCCGGATCGTCTGGCAGATGGAGACACGGGTCAGTGGTGGTGGGTCTCCACCCCCGAGTCACGATTCGTCGAATGTCCGAGGACACTACTGTAGATTCTAAGTACCCAGATGCTCCATGCATGCCATATATATGCCTACAGTGGTTTGGGGGGTCAATGTAGGCATTTCCATACATGGAGTGTCTGGGATATATGGGTGCGTATGAAAATTGGGAGACCTCCCATTTCGAACCCCCTGGACGGTTTGGGCAGACTGACTAATTAGTCGACCCAGCAAGGGCCAGGAATCCAGGAGGTCTTCCTGTGAAAATACACATATACAATCCATTTTTTTCAGCCTCCCAACATGCGAAAAGGTACAATCAGTTGATCGGGAAGAAGGACCGTGAGGACTACGGGGCCGCCGAAATCCGGGGGGCTAGCGGTGGAGCGGGAGGTTTCGGCCGAGAAAAGCATCAGATGGTCAGTCGGCTGTGGTCAGAATAAGTATCAATTTGCCTAGGGATCCACACACCTTGTCAGAAGGTACGACCGGTCTATACTGGACCCTCCAAGCCTATACATCAAAGGGTCTCCAATCACCTTCTAAGAGGGTATGTGGTGGATCCATGGGGTTTAACCTTCTTCGTATTCAGCTGCCCAAACCAGCGACGACAAATTTACCAAAGTGCGGTCGGGACCGTATAGAATGTTTCCCCTCAAAAACTCGTGTTTTTTTGAACGTTTTTGTTCACCTTTGGCAATCTTTGACCCATTTCCTACCGAAGAAAGTCAACGTTATTCAGCTCGACGCATTGAACGCAAAATTGAAAGCTGCGTTTGCATTCGCAGCGCCCGTGAACCAAATCTGAACTGTTGTGCAGATTCTTCGGATTCTTCGAACGCTGGAGCGGATCTGAGGTTTTGCGCCAGGGCGAGCAGGTGTCAGGAAGTTTCTTCATCAACAGGTGCTGCTGGCATTTTTTGTCGCATCGATTGACATAGATGTTTTCCCGTGTTATAATATGTGTTATGTTGATGATGTGAAGATTCAATACCTAACTGCAACTGGCTGGGGATGATTTGGGAGGGTGAAGCACAGAATTCTACGCATGGACAGAGGGAGTCTTTGCATATCTTGAGAGCAATCTATGCAGAGAGACGCATGTTGCGACGGGACATGCATGGAGACACTGCGCGACGTTACACCAGTCCAACATCCCAAAGATCTTCCCCATTGCCAGGTGTCAAGACGGTTCAATAGGGCCACACTGACTGATGGACTGGGAAAACAACTCAACAAAAGGCTTCACGGAGATGTCAGGAGTGGTCAGGAGATGTCAGGAGTGTGTTGACTTGGTCAGGGAAAGACTGTCCGACCTATTTCTGTACCCGGGTAATCCCGGGTAGATGTCCTGCTTGTTGGCTTGGTTTCGATTAAGCAATTCCCATGATGTTCGCTCCCAAAAGCATCCAAAAGCTGCAACATTCAACCCATTTCATCCAAGTGTGGCTCCAACTGCTCAACACCAAATGGTGGTGAGTCAACACACATTGTGGCTCACCTGAAGTGGCTGTGTGTTCATTTGTTTGATGGTTCTTCATCCGGAAACGTCCCACTGCTGGACACATTGAATTGAAACTTGACATGTGTTGCGTGCCTGGCGGAAGACTCGGCCACTTGACATTTGACAGCGCTTGGGACTTCGCGGCCATCCTGGACGTAGCAAAAGATGGAACGGTGCGCGGAGCAGGAGGGAGGTCATGGGAATTTGGACAGAATCGACATTACACACGAGTTTTTTTTCCCTCAAGGATCTCGATTTGACCTGCCAGCTGCCAGCTGGATCCAGCTGGCTTGCTTCGAGGAACCATGGCCCGTGCGCCCGTCGTGGGGATCTCGGACTGGCCAGGCCTTTCGATGGAAGTCTGCTGATTCAGAACACCTGCGTGGAATGGAGGTGCGAGACGGTTCTCGGCTGTCGAGGCCGACGGACCAGACGGTTCTGGCGGCGAAAAATGCGCGGTTCTTGTGACATTCGGAAAGCCTTCAGTCGAGGGAGTGGGTACCACCTCACGATTGGACCAATCTCCTCACGACAGAACGAAGATTCGGAAGGCGCTCATCAGGCATCGTCATTGCTTGCTGCCGGAAATGATTCGGCTCGTTTCTTTGCTGGACGGCAAGGTAGATAGCATTCACAGAACAAGAAAATGATAGAACATGTGTCCACTGATGCTTTTGGTCAGCATAGATGAGCTCATATAGATATCATAGATGACCATCAGAATATTGAGGAATGGTCAGTTCCGTGCATTGTCATTTTGGCACTTGGCACTTGTAAGTCGGAATAAAAGATTTCACGAGATCCCGCAGATGATTTTGGTTCCATCAAATTCCTTAACCCAAAGCCTCATGGATCCTCATATGGAGGGGTTGGAGGGGTTTGGGGTCTCAAATCCCATATGTTTTGAGGGACCAAGGGCTGTCCATTGATGTGCGAAAAATGGTGGGGTTTGAGGTTGCAAGTCGTCGCTTGCAGCTGTCCATTCTATTCCAACCTACTACCAGCACCTCACAATGGGTCTTCAATGGACTACCCTATACACCACTCAGGCATTTCCATTGCACGCTCATTGGATGGTGCATAAACAAGATTAGACAAGAGTAGTAGACATGACAAATGTTTGACCCACATAAATAACATACATACCATGGATGGTTTTAGTATTAACATTGATATATTTTGGAGTTGATATTTTGGAGTGTGCCTGGGTATCTTTCCTGCTTTTCACCCCTTCCATGTTCCCTTCCAGGCTGGGTGAAGACGAGGGGCGCTACGAGAAGCAGGGGGAGAACAACGAGCCCTTGAGGCGCCAGAGACGTGCTCAACACGACGAGAGCCCGGGGCGGAGACTCTGTGCTTCAGCAAACGACGTTGGATGCTGGCAGGTTTTAGAACTCGATTGAGATTGGTACAGGATTGAGACTCCAAATGTCGGTGACTCAGGTGATCTTCGGATCGTCTAATGGAGTTCCAACGAGTTGCGTTTGGAGGAGCGATGGAGTTTTGCTCCAGTCTTCCGCGAATGGGCTCGCTCCAGTCTTCCGTGCTCAGCACAGGCCCGATGGAGGCGCCTTCGTCCCGAAGTGCGTGGGTGATGCCATCTTGAAGGCTGATGGACGTGGAACAACCCGACAGAATCCGATCGGTCCGGGGATTGGAAAAGGATTTGCTTGCTATCCAATCTTCAGTCCGGGATCCAGTCGTACCGAACCTCAGAAGGTTTCTTGGGTCCGACAATGGCACCTACATAACAGTGTCTTCAATCACCTTCTGAGAAGGTACTTGGATCCCTATACGGAATTGATAGTGGTAATCTCAGATAGCCCAGCGGAGCATCATATCATCATCGAGTTTGAGCCGTTCGAGTTGGCATAGTCGGCTCCTTTCGGAAGAGGTATGTTTCGTATTGTTTCGTCCCATGTTGTTGGGTCATGATTCAGGTTGAATGTTTAGGAATAAGATGGAATAAGTAGACCCCAGATAAAAGGAGTAAGAATGGAATATGTTTCTATCTATTTGGGGAGCAATATCTATAGTTTGGGTCCTATTACCTGTAGCAGCCAGTAAATAGACAGGCCTTATTGTCACAATGTCTGAACAAGGCCTACAACCTAACCGTACCACCATCATCCACTGTTACAGGTAGGATATACCGACTGTAGAGTCTGATTCTCGATATTGGTCTGCCTTTAACTCCCAGGGTGCGGGACGATACGACGATAACGCACCAGGTCCGAAAAATCGCGCAGCTGTCTCCCAAGGATTGTCTCAGCGGGTTTGTACTTTTTGTTTTTTCTTTTTGGTGGTGTTCTACTTTTGAAATAACGACAATAACAATAATAATAGGTCCATTGCAGGAAATCATCAGATTATCACTGACAAGTACCAACATGGTTTGGGATTCCAAAGCTGTTGAGATACAACCCCAGGTTCTTTATTCGAGCAGGCATTGTCTACCAAAGGTGTGAGGAACACTGATGTGCACATCGCTGTCTTCCACAGGTGGACTGGATGGAGTTGCGTTACGGCGCACTGGTGGAGGTCGTGAAGCGTGCATTTCGTTTTGGGATGGACATGTATAGTGTCGGGCCACGAACCAGGAATGCAAAAGATGTCCTTAGGGGTCATGGGAGTCAAAAACCATCAAACGCCCATGGCCTAGGGTTAAGAGAGGGTGACCCTTGCCGAAGCCGGTTTCGATCTTCCAAGATGGCTTGGAGAAGATGAACACCAGATAGCCTCCAGGGAACTAGCAGGAAATCATGTTGATCAATGCTGATCCCTTACTTCCTTCCATCAGCCCCTGAGTCATTCGAATGCCCCTTTGCCGGAGTTTCTTGAAGCTAGCAGCTCAATACATGGAACTTTCCCAAGGGTGTATATTACTGTATATTTAAAATAGGGAGACCTCCCAGTTCGACCCCCTAAAAGATCTTGGAAGAAGGAACCAGTCGACCGAGTCGACCCATTGGTTGGCTTCCTCTCCCCATTTACACACCCCTCCAGAGTTGGCGGTTTTTCCCGATGGAAGTAACCTCCAGACAGAGGAGCAGACCGAACCTCGGTGTGATCCGGATGCCAGGTTCGACTCCGCTTTGGCCCTGAGCTACAAGATGTGGCACCCCAGTATGCCAAGCAGTTCGCACAGGCGCAGCTCCGAGTCCAACGCGGGACGTCGGTCTGACAGTCTGACGCATTGGAGCAGCGCCGTCCATGCGAAGCCGAAGCCCATGTGTTTCAGGCCAAAAAGGAGGCGCACAAGAAGGGCCGGAAAGGCCGTTGGGTGTGGGGGGGGCAGTTGGGGGCGAGCACAGGGTCCTTCAAGTCCTGCAGGGAGGTCAAGTCCTGCATGGTCCAGGCTCTCCAACTGGCCCCAGCCTGGGTGCGAAGGTCCGACCATCACGTGCACGTGGGTCGGAGGGTCGGAGGCTCAGAAATGCCCCCAGGTGGACAGTGGTCATAAATTGCGAAACATAATGAATTCCTGCAGTCACAAAGGGGTGCTATCCATGGAGGTTAGGGGTGCCCACCTACTCCACTCACGTAAGGGGACTAAACACCATCCCGACATGTGACT